AATAATTAAAGTAACTTTGTATCAAATGAAAAACTTTAATCAAATGAAAATTTTTAAATATCTAACTGATGTGTGCTATCATATATGTTGTACGAATGAGCTCCTGTTACAGTTCGTAAAACTGAGAAGCATAAGAGAGAAGAACATGAACAAACGTAATGGGACACATAGCATATTATTATAGCAATTAAGACTTTTAATCAAAATTTCCAAGATTAGAATTAACATCGAATAATATTACACATTAATCATTTACAGTAAGCGCCACTTAATGCAATTAAATTTGTCCATGGTTATTTAGATAACATTAAATGATGAGAAAAAATATCCTTCAAACTAGAAACCAAATTTAACAAATACAAAAATATCAAGAAACATATAAATAGGTATGTTCACGTTATTTTAATTAGAAACACACAAAAGTTTGTTTACGAACGTTTCATAATATCTTTTATGCAGTTCTTTTATGAACTGTTCATAACACTTCAGGGTTCACTGATGTCCCTAACCTAAAAATTTGGAAGGCATCCCCCACTGGAAGAGAACATAACAATGTAAAATTTTAAATTCAGTGAAAAAGCACCTTTGTCACAGATGTTTTCAGGGAATTAAAAAAAAATTCTGCAAGAAGAATAAAGTCTCATGTCTCACTAGCTTCAAAATCAATAGTTATTCAAACTCTATGTCCAGCTGAGGCTGCCTTTTTGTCTAATTTTAAATGGTTGACTGAAATCAAAACCAAGCTGTTTGGTGACTTAACTCTTGGCAATTTTTATAATCTGTTTTGAACTTATTTGGTGACTATACTTCAGTTTTGAAAAAATCATTTTATAATAGTTTGATCTTATTAACCAAGTGATGCATTATGAGTCACAATAAGTAATGCATTTTTCAGGTTTTCATACATAAACGGGCAGGATATCGGCAAATCGATAACAATAACGAAATAATAACATTAACTGTGATCACATTAAGTGGCAACTAAAGCACTTGCCATTTTGCATGCAAATATTTTAAATGTAACAGTGTTCAAGATTGTTGATATTAATTAGACCTCTTCAGGAACTGATAAAATGCTTGTTTAGATCTACATTCAGTGAAATTGTTTATGCCTTTAAATTTCTTCCCTTAAATTTTTAGGTAATTTTTCATTGCTCTTTTGTAATATTTAAAACCTTGAAATTGCTAACTTGTTAGTTTGTTAAGTTAAAATGAGATTATTTCTTTTCAAAATAAGTTGCTAACAATTTTTTCCTTGGGCACAAATATTTTCTTTACAGGAATCAATTTGATAAGAATAATAATTCTATGCAAATGTTACATTATTAATGAAATCAAAATGGATTTGAAAACTCCTAATCAGAACTTATATTGTATAATTTGGTTTCAAAGGAAAATGATATAATACAACAATGTTTTGCACAAGAAAGTGAATTAAACAGGCAGAAGGGGATTAAGACATAAGTTACGATCTTAAACAATATCTATTACACTGTTTTCTTAAAAATCATACACAAACACACACACAAAAAGAGAGAATTAAAATCTAAACAAGATTTTGAAGTTAAACCACAAAACTAGCAAGATATGCATAATATATTTCCCGACATAAAAACAGAAAAATATCACTAAAGCAAACGTTTTAAGTATTGAAGGTCTACCACCAATAAAAACAGACAGAAACTCTTAAAAAGGATTTAAAAGAAATCTGACATACTTCTAAGGTAGTATAAAACTATAATTCAAAGATCTTCAGCATGGGTTAGAAACGCGAAAATTTACTACGGAACAAATAAAGAAAACTGATTAATTTCCAAATAAGTTGAGAACTTTAATCATGTAAATCACAAAAGAAAATTATATCATGATGCATACACCACAAGTACATTAAAAATTAGGTAAGATTCAGATAATCCATAAAGACATGAATGTTCAAATGAGAAATAAATGCCAGAATAGCAACAATACATGCAGCTGAGAGAAAAGAGAACCATCCAAAAAGATGAGGCACAGAATTTTGTACAAAATGCGAGGTTACACACAAGTATGTAAGATAGTAGAAGACATAAATATGGCAAGGACAGTTACATTATAGTATACACAGAATGAAAGTGATAACTCACTTTTAAATGGTGTTTTCTAATCTGGCTTACCATTCGCTTTTACAATGCTAACAATATGACACTCACCACTTTTACATAATCCGATCGTTAGATAAGGGTAATAAAAATGGAATTGAATGTTTTTAAGAAGACTTATACATAAATTAATTATATGCAAGAAAAGATGGTTTACTGCATGATGGTTACACACATATTATCACTAATTTTTTAAACAGCACAATTAATAAATAAAATTTACCTTTATAAACAATGGGTACACCATTTCGAAACAAAACTACAGCAGGAAATTTGCTGAGTTTGGCTTGTTTTTTTGCTACAGTCATGTCATCAGTAGTCACAAACATAATTCCATGGTCATCTGTGTCATCATCTATGTTTTCAAGTTCATGTAATATTTTTTCACACTCTGGACACTCATTAGGAGCTAGATTTATGATGAATTTTGCAATAAAAATTAGATTATGGTAAGTACACTAACTAAAATCACAAAGAGCATGTTTCCAACACAAGCAAGATTTTCCATCATATAAGTCACTATTAAATTCACAGCATAAAATGCTTACCAAAGAACACAAGAACATATTCATATTCCTTTATCATATCTTCAAGAATTTCATCAGTTACTTCTTCGATAGTATCTTCTTCCTTTTGTTTAATTATCCAAGCAAGAACATCTTCTTCCTTCATTAGATCACCTATATATTAAAAGTGAGAGTGAAGTAAATATCAAAGTAAAAGAAAAAATAGCAATATTAAATAAAGTTCAAATAAGCAAATCTACCTTCATATACACTGGGAATCTTATTTTCAAAATAAACTAAAATAGGCAATTCATCGAGAATGCCATATTCTTTAGCAACAGAATCATCATCAATGCGAACAAATGGTATGCCATGCCGATCTGTATCATCGTCAATATTCTCCAGCTCACGCAAAATTTGGGCACTGATATTTGCATCTTTGTCATCTAGAAGATACATAAAAAATTTTTATTTACTTACATTGCTTTCAAACGTAGTTAATATTGAGTATATGAGAATACAGCCATATTTTCATAAATGCTGAACTGAAACAATAAATTTATGAAAGGAATTTTTACAAATAATGAATGAAATGATAATGGCTTCATTCCTGAAGTATCTGACATATTCAAAGCAAAAACGAGAAAAGGACATTGTTATGATGAAGTAAATAGAAAATATTTTCAAAACTACAAAAAGATTATTTCCAAATATGCAGCAAACAGTGTAATTATATTAGGCAAAGTATCTCATCACAACATAGACATTCCTTAAAATGCAAGGAAAAAAGATTTTTCAGTTTTGGGTAACTAAAAAATTATTCCTAAGAAAACTGAAACACTGAAAACAAAACTTTCAGCTGTGATTTCAAAAGTACAGTAATCAATTTTACACTGCATCTGTGCTGCTGATGTTCAATTGAGGCATAAAAAATTGATGACACAATTGTATAAACAGTGTTTCAATACTATTTTGTCATGTAATATGGATCATAATTAACTTTTAAATCAAATGTTCACTTTTACAAATAATCTCCCACACACACACACACACACACACACACACACAAAAAAAAAAAAAAAAAAAAAAAAAAAAAAAAGGGAAGCTGCAATTTATGAGTAACTTCATTTAACTTGCATCATAACATATTTAATAAAGTTTCACTCACAAAAGAAAACTGCAACATATGGGTAATTTTCAATTAAATTGTCCAGGGCATGTTCATTCACATCTTCAATCTCATCATTTGCCAGCTGGTCAATTAAAAACTGCAAGACTTCCTCTTCCTTCATCAGATTTCCTAAAATGGAAAAAAAGCATATTGAATGAGTATATAAATATATATGAATGTATGAAAAACTAAACATATTGAAACTTTGCCTTAAATTCCAAAACTCTGACTGTTTTATTATATCCTTTTCTTTCCTTTAAAAAAAAAGTAAAATTTTCACTTACTGCAAATGCAAAATATCAATGTAACTAGCAACTAGCATACAAATTATAATAATCATTGCACTTGCAATACGTGCATATCAAAATATATGTAAAAACTGAAACAATTAAACATATCTGATAAAACAAGGATTAATTTCAGCTTAGATCTGACATTATGCAGCTTAAACCTACATGACACTGTTGATTTCAAGCATAACTATTTCAATATTAGCAGGAACCTGACAAAGCCCAAACATTGAATAACCTTAAGAGAAGCACTGAAAACATTCATGCTTCTTTATATATAATAGTATAATTCATAAATATAATAACTACATTATTAATATTTCATGAATTTCAGGTCTGAATATTACTTTTTTTTTATATACATTTTTAACTGCATAATCCACCTGCAAACTTCTTGGATTGTGCATTTCCTACCAATCCCAGGAAATTATCAAATGATAAAATGTACAATAATTACAATCACATCTCAACTTTCTTCCAATTAGTTGAAAGAAATATGGAATTCTTTAGAGCTAATATAAGCCATTAAGAAGATTTCAATAACAGAATAGCAAAATTAAAGAAAATTTCTCTTCAAATAATGTAATTGCCATCAAGCATCATTTTACATAGGTACTTGCAGATATTTTTAGTAATTTTCCTTATTCACCAAATTTGGCAGTAGTAGGCCATTTTCTATTCCTTTAACCCCTTAACTGCCGCGGAAAACACACAAGATTCATTTCCCAGTCCCCGTTTTTTCACATAGGCGCGCGTAGTTATGCAATGTATTAGGGGGAAAATAAGTGCAAGTCTTACTTTCTAAAAACTGTTTACTTTCACAAAATAAAGAATAAAAGAAAAAAAAAATGAATGCACAAAATTCAATATTTTGAGTAAAAGCATAATAAAAAGATGTAAGTATAATAAAAATGATGTTTTTATAATAAAAAAGATCCCTAAAATGGAGTTTCGATCAATTCATTTTTACACCAGTAAAGTGTAATATCAGGTTTCAGTGTTATACCTTGTGAAATCAGTATGCCTAAAAAAACATATATTTCTTCTGAACTGGTTGAATGCCATGATTTTCTTCTTGATTTTTTGTTTGCAAGGTGTTAGTTCATATACTCGTCCTCAAAACGGCTAGTTTCAGTAAAAATATGAAGCACAAGCAGTTCATCAAAAAATAATTCAAGAAAGATAAATGGGTTTGAAACATCCGTTATATCTTTCTTTATTCCTGGAACCTACTACAAAAAGTAAACAAAAATGGAGGACACAAAATTAAAAAAAAAATATGTTTTACTCAAACAACACCAGCCAATACCGCACAGTCATTACTTTCACCGCTTTCTCCAATTTCTCCCCATTTCTCTGAAATATTATCCTCCTTTGCATCATTTGTCAAGGTCATTGTCGTGTTGCATTCCAAAGCTTTGCGAATAATTTTATGGGTAGCAACGTAAAGTTTGGAAGGATGTATATACAGCGGCTCCCAAAAGTGTTCGTACACTTATGAGTTTCATTGAAATAGGGCTCTATTCATTAGTTAAAAGTAAACTTTCTGAATGAGATTTTAATAATAAGATCTATATTCGTAACAAAATTACATGAAATATTTTTGAAATATAGCAAAACTTTATTTTTGAAAAATTAATAATAAAAAATAACAAACATTTTATCTCACAAAAGTCTTCATACACTTCAAAAAAATCTTGACATATTAGTAAATATTTTCATTTTTTGTTGAATTAATATTTAGTAGGATATCCCTCAGCATCCACAACAGCTTTTAAACATCTGGGAATAGATTTTACTAGTTTTTTTGTAATTCCTGTATCAATGTTTATCATGACTTCTATCATGATTGTTTTGATAGAAGTCATGATCGTGTTTCGTTTTGATGTCGTGTTTTCACACTCTAACCTCCAGTTCTTTCCAGATGTGTTCTATGAGGTTTAAATCTGGCGACTGAGGTGGTGTTTTCAAAACCTGTGGACAATTACAGGAACACCACAGGCGAACATTGAAAGGCGTATGCTTAGGATAGTTATCATGATTAAAAAGAAAGCTGTTTCCAATACCCAAATTTTGGGCTGATAATTTTAAATTGTCTCTTAAATATTTAAATAAAGAGAATGCTTCATTAAGCCATCAATAAATACCAAATTACCTAGTCCTGATGCTGCCATGCACCCCCCCCCCCCACAAGAACACCTCCACCACTATGCTTAACTGTTCCAACTAAATTCTTAGAATGAAGTTCCTTATATTTTCTTCTTCATACAGTTATTTGACCATCGGAACCAAAAATGTTAAATTTGCTTTCATCAGCAAATAGGACATTATTCCAGTACGTTTCAGGTGTATTTATCATTGATTTTGCGAATGAAAGGCCTAAGCTTTCTGTTTTTCTGACTAACAAAAAAAGTTTTACAGGCAGAATGCCCATGTAATCCAGCTTCTCTGAGAACTCGTTGAATAGTTTCAGGTGAAGTAGAAAATTTTGCCAAAAATTCTGCAGAAACTTTTACAGCACTCAAACGTGGGCTTTCACAAATTTTCTAATAATAAATCTCTCATCACACTTAGTTAACTTTCTCGGTTGACCTTTTCTTACCTTGTTTTCAATGCGATTTTCTTCTTTAAAACATTTTATCACATACTGCACTGTAGAGTGGGATAAATTAATTAATTTAGCAATATTTCAAATTGATTTACCTCTACTATGGTGAAAATATATCAATTTTAAAATGCTGTTTGTAATTTCTTTATGACTGTGACCCATTTTTCAATAATAAATAGAACGTTATGAAGTAAACAGTAAACAATTAAAGCAAACGATTTTTTAAATGCCACCACAATACAAAAATTTAAAAAAGCGGCAAACGATAATTCTAATTTTAATTTTATCCAAAAATATTTCAGTGTACAAAGACTTTTGTGAGATAAAATGTTTGTCATTTTTTTATTATTAATTTCTTAAAAATAAAGTTTTGCTATATTTTAAAAGTATTTCATGTAATTTTGTTACGAATAGATTATGGATCTTAGTATTAAAATCTCATTCAGAAAGTTCACTTTTAATTAATGGATAGAGCCCTATTTCAATGAAAATCATAAGTGTACGAACACTTTTGGAAGCCACTGTATATGCCTAGGGCAGTTAACGCACTGGCTGAGCAAGGTGTATATATATGCCCACGCCAGTTAAGGAAGGGGTTAAGCCAAATGTTACTTTAAAGGATGCCATCTGAAAGAACCTCAGAGATATGCAATGACAAGACGAAAGACAGCCCCAAAGTTGAGTTCTATTAAGTCATCGAAAAAAGGTCTATGAATGCGTCCAGAAATGCATTGAAAGAAATTTATACAGAAAACTGTAGTCTTCAGCTATTGACGATTTATGAATCCAGTCTTCAAACTTTGTAGATGTAATATACATGTTAAGAGACAATACCTTTCTTAAGCTATGAAACTATATATTATAAATAGTGTTAATCACATTACTAATATATTTGCATTTCACCATAAATTTTAAGGGGAAAACCCCACAGTTTTAAGTTCTCATATTGAATGAATACAATATGTATTTGAAAAGTTTGGTGAATGGCATAATATGTCGAAAGCAGCATGAGCCCATCACATGCACATGCCTATCCAAAATTACGATGAGAAGCACCACATAGCATTAAGCACACAGGGCTGACAGGGTAAAGAATTGCAGGCAATCAAAAATAGTATGAGGAACAGTATCATAGAGCAATACAACAAGTGAACAACAAATTCTGTTAAAGCTTGGGAAAAGTTATGATACTAGTACATGGAATGTTGAGTCAAGTGTATAAGATAAAAGTTGTAAGTAGAAAATGTGTTTATGATAGGTTGCAATGATTTTGTAATGGGGAAAAAAAATGATTCGGAACATGACATGTTCAGTTTGCTGTCAACAAATGGAACCACAAACATGATCAAGCAAGAATGACATATGCTGGCACAAGATCAGTTATTGATTCTATGACAGATGATGGAACAGTTGAGTATTAACACAGACATAGAGCATATTACCACTTATGAAGTGGAAGTTTAGTTCCTAATCCGTCATATAAGCTGAAAAATAAACAGAAAGCAAAATGTAGAGAAACGTCAGATCTAATTATAATGGGTGGCCAAGATGCCTCATGTCTGTAAAACACTGTCACATGCATGAGCTCTGCTGTAATAAGTTCAATCTGGAATTTAAGCAGTAACTCATGAAGCAGCATTCACCATCTTCTCTGCATTCCAAAATGAGTTGCCTGCAGAAATTCAAGTAAGCAACAAAATAATGTTGATTAAAATTTTTAAAAATTATGGCATCATCCAAAAGGAAATCATTTCTAAGTATCAAATCATGAATATGACATTCTATGAGAAGTTCTGAAATAGTTGCTATCACACATCCAGTATTTTTGGCCAGAGATGCAAAAAACTGGACATGGGATATTCCTGCATGATAATCACCTGTTCAATGTATGATTCATATATGCTGATTTTGGGGTCAACTAGAAGTATGTCTTCTTGATCACCTACCATACTTCCCTGATCTGGCATCTCCAAAGTTGTTTCCTTATCTGAAGAAGTTCCTAAAAGAAGCATGTTTTGCACATGTTGGCCATCCAAACCCTTGCAAGATCAGTTCTGAAATCAGTTCCTACACAGGTCTTTGCTGACAGTTTTCAAAAGCTTTATATAAATAATAAGAAATGTTTATGTGGTGCATGGTGGTTATTTTGAAGACCAATAAATTTAATTTTTACTTATCTTCTGTTTTTTGTTTGCTTGTTTCCCAGTAACCTACATGGTAACACTAAACTTCCTGCTCGCTCTCAAAGAGGGTCATGAAAAGTGTTTGAATACATTTGCCATCCAAGAACATGTGAGAGTGATTATAAAAACAGTTCCTTAGGGGACCTTCAATGACAGTTTCAAGAAGCTTTATAAATGCTACAAAAGTGTGTTGTGGCAGACAGAAGTAATTTTTAAGGTGAATATAATCAATTTGTACTTTCTGGTACTATTTACCAAATTTTTTAAGACGCCATTCTTACACATTTCCCATTGGTGGACACTCACAGGATCATGGCCTTTATCATGACCAGGGAGTGCTTGCTACATAGGAGTGTATTGGTCTCTTTTTTCCACAGACCAAGGACTCAGGAAACTGTCCAGTAAGAGAAAATGTCTCCTAAAGTGGAGTATCCTTAAATGGAGGTTTACAAAAATGAAATGTTACATTTATTTCACAATCTCACAAACATTTGTTGACAGAGTGGTGCAAAATTTGATTTATAGTTAAGTGACGAGTATGAAAGCACACACATCACCAGGAATTTTCAACTTCAGCCTTGCCAAGGGAAGTCCAAAAATTGGATACAGATCAACTTTAAAATGGAATAACCTTCAATAAGTCAGTAAATGAGAAATAAATGCGCCAAATGCCCCACCTGTTTTACATTTCTCCTGTTTTCCATTTATCATAATTCTACTAGCAAACTCATGAACAACTGTGAATATAGAAACTGAAATTTGCATGCTATATGTAGTTTGTTGCTAATTCTGCTTGATTCTTTTTTTTTTTTTTTTTTAGTTTGCCTCTTACTTACAAAGAGGTGCCAGATACCACAGCTAATTCCATATAAAGAAAAATACAATAATTTCTAAGAAAAGAAAGTATTATCAAAAAGAAAAGAAAATCAAAAATAACATACCTTCATAAACTATAGGACTTCCTTCTTTAAAAAACATAAGAGCTGGTAATTTTTTCAACCCATACTTCTGAGCAGCAGAAAAATTATCATTTTTCACAATAAGAATATCGTATCGATCAGCTTCATCATCTATAGTTTCTAATTCTTTTAGAACTTTCGCACTCTTCTTTGATTTGTGATCATCTAAGAAAAAAATTTCAATAACGCATAAATTAATTGTTGATTTGCTCTGAAACTCACAGAGTATTATTAAATGGGTTTAAACAATTCAAAAACTTTAATTTGTCAATAATTAATACTTTCCTCTGTATTAGCCTTTCACACCTAGAAACATTATAACCTCAAAATTAAAAGAAACTGGTTGGTAATATTTTTAAAATGTATAGCATAATACAGAAATCAGTAATGCAACTATTCATTTTTAAATCTGAAAACATTATGAAACTTATATAAACTCTCTCTTGACTAACCAAAACATAATCAGTACAGTATGAAATCTAAATCTCTACTCATAAAATGCTACTGTAAACTTTCTAGCATTCTGACAGGATTAAAATAGTCTATATATCAGAACTGAAATTCAGTTTTGCATTGATTTATTATTTAAAAAGAAAAACATCTAACAGGAAAAAATGTATTAATAAATATTTCACTCTGTTGCATAACATTAAAAGCACAGAACTTTGCTAGTTTGCTAAATTTTGATATACTAAATGTAACAAAGGTTTACCTAATTATTAAACTAAAATAAATTACTCAGTTTCGACCATATAACATAAAAATTTCATAAATAATCGGGGAAACAACACAAATTATTGCATTTTTGACCATATAAATTCAAACTTAAAATTTTACAGGAATAAACAGGAAAACTGAACTATTGATTTAGCTTTTCATCTTATGTATTACAAAAGATCACATAAAGGAACAACAAAAGTAAATTTATGCTATTACATTAAATAGTATATGGATTGGATTATCAATTTATGGAAATTTCAGAAAGTTTTATTATAACCATACATGTAAAAATAATTCTCAAAAACAGAAAGATGAGTTCAGTTGATAATGGCAAAGTACAGTAGGATTATCAGCCAAAGGGAAAGGATGCCTTCGTGGATTACATTCTAAGGGCAACTTGCTTGTATATTTGTTACACATAGGGACAACTATGAAAACACCCATCCAGCCAGCCCGCTTGCCTGGAATCAAACACTACCAATGTTCCTCAGAAATGGAAAGATCAAGAAAGATGTGTCAGTTGCAATAATAATGGGTAATGATAATAACTTTCAGGATGAAAAAGTCTGAAAATAATTAAAAAAAATTCTAATATAAAAGCACTTGATATTTTTACCCACACTATCAATAATGCTCAACCTTTTTAACTTCAATTATTGTACACTAGAGGCTGGAGCAACTGTGACCTTTCTTGAACAGAAGTAGTGGTTCTGGAAAATTCTAAAACTCGACTCCTACACGTTTCAAAGGTAGCAGGAAGTTTAATAAAACATCCTATAACAGATTTCATATAATCCGAAGTTCCATTTTTACATTTCACCATCACCAAGATTATAAATATAGTTGCATCATAATTTAATGACACTATTTTCAACTACAAAATACAATTTGCAAGCCTACTCCTAAAACTAAAACACTAGAAACTCTTTTTGCATTACAATGGCTATGCACCTATAAGAGCATAAACATCATATGCAAGTTCAGTGCTGTTGCTACAGTGATATGCAAAATCAGTTCCATCTGTCACCAGCATCAACTACCCCCCCCCAAAATACCAATACTCAACCATTTGAAAATCTTGGCCAATAAGCCAGTCCCAATTATGAATAGTATCATATTATATAAGGCTGTATTTCATATTACTACTAAATGTCTACATTACTGCTAAATGTTATCAGCAAAAATGTCCCTATATTAATAGCCACATGTGCAGAAACAACAGGCTCCCAGAACAAAATCAAATTATTTCAAGTTTACATGCAATATTTATATTCTTTATTCACTTTACAATAATATATTAACATGAAGAATTTACTTTTAAAATCTTAGCATTTCATAAACATTTTAATTATCTGATTAAGTATGAGCTACATTTGTGGATAGTTTTAACAAAAGTTGGTTTATTAAACTGATTTATATGCTTATATAGTATTATATAAGAACCATAATATCATAGGAATATATACATTTGTGCTGCAGAATGCTAAACTAAAGGGAATATTATGCTAAATATTTTAAACACTTACAAAATAAAACAGCCACAAACTGATTATGTTCAATCAGGTTATAAAGAATTTTCTCTGTAACTTCTTCAATGCCATCAGATGTTAACTGTAAGTGCAGCCATTTCCATACTTGCTGTTCATTAGTAAGATCACCTATAAAGAACCTCAGATAAATTTCATTTTTCAAAATAAATAACAATAGCCCCCCCTGCCGAAAAAAAGGAAGTATAAATCCTAAAACACTGAAACAAAAACATTATTATTAATAAGCATTTTATTGAGGTGAAAACATAACAATTAAAAAGTACTTAAAATGTGTCAGCAGACAATTTACAACTTCTTTTACAAACCATCATTTACTTATCTATAAATCATGATGAAGCATTTTTTCCCTTGTAATAAAAAGTGTTTCTTATAATACAAAATACACTCGCATTTATTCAGTGGGCTAAGGATCAAAGCACTTTATAAAACCAAAATGCATATTAAGCATTTAAGTTCATAAATGTACTCTGCTTGCAAAAGTACACAGAATTTAAATAGCACACCTCATATAAAAGCAATCTTATCAACGTTATTAGACCACCATACAGCCTTACGGAAAATGACTTTCTCCTGCCAATTAGTAAATAATTAATCCTCTTTCTGTTATAACAACGAATTGAGACATACTATCGGCCAATTTATATCATATCTTGATAGGAATAGCTAGCATTCCATTTCAAAAACTGTTACCAAAGATGACAACAAAGACGGCTGTTTTGTTGAATTTCACATTCAATCAACCCAGTTCATCATCAAGATTAAGATTTCATGCTCAAAATTTCATCTAACTCTCAGGAATATACTTCTGCATGCACTATGCACTGTGACAGGAAGCTTGATCATACTGCAAGCAACAAGGACCAAAGAACACACAGCAGAAAAAATTGAATTGTACTTAACATCATGGAGAATTTCAATCTGATAATTTCTAAGAAAACAAACCAAGACACCTCAAGCAAAATCAAGCCTATACCAAAAGTTCTTCAAACAAAGTCATTGTTTAATATGAATGTTCATGCTATTTCTCCAGCACAAGAATAATAATAATTTTTTTAAAAATTTCTATTGCACGTAAACATTTTTCATGAATACTCCATAAATCTTCCGCTTTTAGTTTAACAATCATTTTTTGTGCGTTACACAATTTGTCTCTGAAGAAAGAACTATGATTTTTATCTTTTATCATTTTTTTCATTTATGATCATAAAAAGTAAATAATGAGTAAATCAAATGGACAAAATGAAAAATTTGTCTTGGTATAACAATGAAATTTTTGCTACTCTGCACGGTTAAAAAATGCTTGGAAAATGTGGTGACAATTCAATAAAATGGCTTAGTGACAATTCAATAAAAAATAAATTTCATTGTTTTCAATCCATTTTAAAGGCTCAGTTATGTGGCAAATTTAAATAAATTAAGTAATTAAAAATTGAAAAGAGGTATAACATATATCATGACAATTCATTTTCTCAGCAATACAGTTCATAAAGATATAATAATCTTTATCAAAATAATGTTCTTCTCATATTCTTTTTGCATGAACATACAAAAATTACATCTAAAATAAATTTAGTATACACGCATGTGAAGGAATACATAAATTTATTTAGTAAATATTTCATAAAATATTCAATGCTAGAAATGCCAATTTTATTCAAATACCCACAAATACTATCAAAAAATAAAAATAATTTCACATCAATAAACAAACCTTGGTAAACAGATGGAACTTTCTTCTCAAAATACACCAAAACAGGTAAATCAGCATCAAATCCATATTCAGCTGCGAGTTCTTTATCATCAATTCGAACAAAAGGCATTCCTTGCTCATCAGCTTCATCATCAATATTCTCTAATTCCCTAAGAACATCTTTTGACCTGCGATCATTCTTATCATCTACAGGAATAATGAAGATTTTAAGTAACAACAATTTCAATCATTTGTTTATTATAAATAATAGTTTAATGCTTTTTTTTGTATTACATTTAAGGATTCAGTTCTCTACTTGCAATTAAGGAATTACAAAACAAAATTAAGAATTAAAATGTAAATATGTATACTATACAACAGATTACAAATAATTTGTTATATACAAATTTCAAAACATGCAGTTTGAAATCACTCTTTTTGGCCTATGCTATAAAAAATATTTAAATACAGCATTTCTAAAACTGCAGTGATACATACTTAATTGTACATTCAGAGTTGGCAAGAAACTAGAAATTGTGCCCCAATGATCATTATAAAGTTTGCCCGTGTGACATCACATGACATACAGACAACAGAGAAAATAAAGACCTTTCTATTTAACACCTTGAAGTACTTGTAAAGTACTAGGGGATTCATTGGTATTGCTATACAGAATGAAATCAGGCAACAGAGATTTCAGAGAAGAGATTAAATTTTTCTGAGAGCATATATTCTTGTAATGACAGGTATTAGCCATGTACAGGCAGACAATTACATTAAAAAAAATGAACATGTGATGCAAATGCACACCGCTACTATAAGAGAAAGTAAATTAAAACTAAATTATATGCTAGTACAATTTCCCTTTAATTTCCAAACAAGCCGTTTTAAACCTTATTATTTAAGATCTGAAATGATGCAACATTCTGCATAACATGTTGAATAAAATATATGATGATGATGATGTCGTGTCTATGACAAAGTGCAATTATATAGCTTCGAAGCTGTCAAAGACAGCTTTTGCAACCTCAGCAGCTCTATCAGTATAAAGCAGGTCCACTGGGTCTTCAATGCCGATGTTAAACAGTCTGGTCTGGATTGCTGGGCAGCTGAAGATGTGATGGCGAGACAGTGGGATGTCATCTGGGCAATGAGGACAAATGTTGGTGTAACTATGCTGTCCGTCTGCAGAAATCCTCATCCCTTTTAAGTGATTTGTTGGCTCTGTCACAGTTCAATTCCGGGATGGAGTTTCCTTTAACTTGACCAATTAGTCTTTGACTGGCAACTGCATTGGCATGAGCGAGGGCTAGGCAGTTGGATGACTGATGAGAATAACGGGATGCCTTTGCAAGCTCATCGGCCTTCTCATTACCAAAAATATTTACATGAGCGGTATCCATTGTAAGATGCAGGATCTTTGGGCAGCAATGATGGTAAATATATGGTACTAAATTAAAAAATCATTTTAATCTAAATTATAAAATCATTTAAAGTTCATTTTAACACTGCTGACACTTACAAAATAAAACTGCTAGGTGCTCAGTTTTTGCAATCATCTGTTCCAGTACTTTAGATGACACATCTTCTATCTCATCTGAACTTTGTTGTTCAAGAAGCCATTTTAATACCTCTTCTTCATTTGACAGATCACCTTTAAAAAAATATGAGATAAGTTTCATCATAGCAACACAAACAAAAATTACTAAAAAATAATAATATACCTGGATATAGATTTGGCACTCCACCCTCAAAAAATACTAATGCTGGTAAAGGGCTAATTCCATAGGAATCAGATATATTTTTGCTTTCACTTCTCACTAAAGGAATGCCAGCTTTGTCACTCTCATCATCAATATTTTCTAATTCATTCAGAACCTTTTGTGCTGCAGGATCATCAGTATTATCTAAAAGTAAATTTTAGACAATTATAAAGACATACAATGTTAATTTTTTTTTAATTTGCTGTCCCTCCAAGCTGAACGGAAACAAAAAAATATGTTATGTTACAAAATTCATACATTCATTTATTAATTCACCATCTTCACTCGGAGCAGAATCCCTAGAAAATACTTCTGATCATGATTAGTAACTGTTGTTTGAAATATATCATCAATGAATGAAAAATGTAATAAAATCCAAAAGAAATTAAGACATTATTACTTTAAGATGATACTTAAATGGAAAGTTGCTGTAGTAATTTATTATTTCAATAATTCACTGTGATAAAAAAAAAGTTTTTGTAAACATTGGAAACCAAAGTGAAAATATAATTAATTACCAGGATAATGGAAAGAATAAATAAGCTGTAATAAATGTATTAATACATACAGGAATGGCATTAATTCAACAACAGGACTTCTGGAAGGTTATATTAGAATGAAAACTATTTTAAAAATATCTATATATCTGACAGTAATAAATAACAAACGTACTGCATAAAATTAGTGGTCCAAAAGCATAGTGATTTGGATGTTAGTAAATGGCAATCTATACTGTTCAGCCAAAATTCAGCAAGCAATTAAATAATCAACAAATCCTTACATGACAAGAAATGAATTTAAAATAGCCTTTTCTTTGCACAAGATCAAGCTCCATTTGATGAAGAAATTTGGTTAGAAGAAGAACTCTTGATCGTGCTGATCTTTACATAATTAGAGATGACTCACTGATGGAAATAAAAATACAGTAGTCGAAACCTCTGAACTTTTGATATGCTTTATCATTCAGAAAGACTTTCATGATCATGGACAAAAATACACATCCATATAATAGCACAACTCTCCAGAGATGTGCTGAAAGATGAGATTATGAATGCATGGGCTAACCAATATATTCACAATACTTACATTCAGCTGAGCATAAGCAAAGATGAATTACTGGCAATCAACTAACTCTACAGGATCCTAATTACTTGGACTGTGCTTCTCAAAAAATGTTAATAGGAACTGGATAATCTTATTTGAATTCTGCCATACAAATGAACTATTATTATAACAATTCATTGAAAATCTTTTCCATCTTATTGCCTTTCAGTGTCAGAAATCTCTTACAAAACTCTAAATTCAGTAGCATATATATATATATATAGAGAGAGAGAGAGAGAGAAATGCAAGACAAACACTTTGAATTCTTCGTATTTCATAGAATAACTTCACAGGGAAATTTCATTACATAAATAGATTCATTACACATTGCATTATTCCTTAATTTTCTTGAATAACATAATTATTTGCATCACAGAAAAAATAAGTAAATTAATTACTTGCTATTAAAAGAATACCGATATTCTGTGACTACTTAATACACGAATATCTATAATACCCACTGAGTTTCGACTGCAAATGAACGAAAATTAAATTTTCATAAACTTCACCATGGCATATTTAATGGCAATTTTTTACATGCAATCCATGCTAATTATAATAGAGTCCTGACACAGGTACAGATGATGCTAAATAATTTGCTATATGCAAATTAAATAAAATGCTAAATGCTAGATAAATAATAAAAAAATAGCTTTTCAAAATATGCTATTGTGAATTTTTTTAAAATAATTTTCCCTTGTATATATTATATATATATGTGATGTACAAGCTTTTGTCCGGAATAAATAGATTGGTGAAGAATCATAAATGTAGTCAAAGCTCACAGTATCAGATGATAAGTTTAAAAAACAGGATCCATTTATTATTATTCAGGAGAAATAGCAGTTACAAAAAATCATATCTCCGAAGTAAATAAAAAAGAATTAATAATAACATGTTGTATGAAGTTTACTGCATCGTTACATTAAAGAGAAGACCCTAATATGCCTTTGCGAGTCCTTTTATAGCCTCTGGAAAGGCGGAGCTTCAAAGAAATGACATCAGCCATTCCAATTCGCTTTAAATATCTCCAGAACATTTTATAACTGTATGTGTAGAAAAAGCGGGTAGTAAAAATAAAAAAATAAAATAGTGTGTAGAAAAATTCTAACTGTATGTTCTTTTCATTTTTTAATGGCGACAGTCTCTTATTTGAAAGTACGTGGAATTAAATCCACAGGCCCGTAATCAAGTTGTTTTCCCCGCTTTTTCTACACATACAGTTATAAAATGTTCTGGAGATATTTAAAGCGAACTGGAATGGCTGACGTCATTTCTTTGAAGCTCCGCCTTTCCAGAGGCTATAAAAGGACTCACAAAGGCATATTAGGGTCTTTTCTTTAATGTAACGATGCAATAAACTTCATACAAAAAGTTATTAGTAATTCTTTTTTATTTACTTCGGAGATATGATTTTTTGTAACTGCTATTTCTCCTGAATAATAATAAATGGATCCTGTTTTTTAAACTTATCATCTGATACTGTGAGCTTCGACTACATTTATGATTCTTCACCAATCTATTTATTCCGGACAAAAGCTTGTACATCACATATATATATAATATATACAAGGGAAAATTATTTAAAAAAAATTCACAATAGCATATTTTGAAAAGCTATTTTTTTATTATTTATCTAGCATTTAGCATTTTATTTAATTTGCATATAGCAAATTATTTAGCATCATCTGTACCTGTGTCAGGACTCTATTATAATTTGCATGGATTGCATGTCTCTAACTGCTTATTTTTTGCTTTATATAAATCCCTACTTTTAGGCATATATTTTCTGATATTTTGACAACAAATTGGAATGTATACTGTCAACATATATGAAAAATTTATCTGTTTACAACTTTCCAGATGTTGCATTTTAACTTAAAATTATCTCTTAGTAGGTTTGTTTATATTTCACACAATGAGCAGTCATTATACTGGCTATGAATAAGGTTAGATTCTTGAAAACAAAGATTTTTTTTGGCATTAAAAATTGAACGTATAGAAAAAGAGTCTAATGAACAAGGAATTTTCTTTTATTAAATCAAAAACTCTAATTTGGAGCTCTCAAAGTCATGTCAAATGTAACTGCATGTGTGTAAAATGAGCACAGGGTTTCAATTTGGAAAAAAAACTTACAGCTGCAGTTATTTTGCGAAAAGTGCATTCATTTGTTAATTTATTTTATCACATTTAACAACATGAAAATAAGTTTGAGAGTAATTTCGTAGGGGAGTATGCAGTATTTTTACATAAAGTTCTTCAACATATTTTTTCAAAAGAAAAAATTTTTTCCATATTTCTGCCATGTTTTCTCCTTGTACTGACATTATTGCCTTTGTATTCAGTTATATTTTTAAAATATAATAATTTTGTATTTAATGAATTTTTGAACAATTCTTAATGTGCCAATGTGTTTTAGTTAATTACTTATGTGCAAACAATAAAGATCTAATGCAAAAATTAGAAAGGAATATACGACTAACTCAGAAAGACATAATCTGTAATCTGCATATTTCACTAAACAGCACAGCCTTTGTTTCAGAGGTGTATTGATTATCGGAATAAAACAATTTATGTCTAAGAATGATCATCCATAAAAACCTGTTTCAGTCAAAGAGATTGGTCAAATTGGGTTATTTATAATAATACCATTATTAAATCCATAAAAACCCATCACCTAGCATACAAAATTTCTAACTCACATGGTATTGACCAAATCTCAACTGCCATCAAGGCCTACAAAGACCTAGGCATAGGGATTGAAAGAATTTTGAGAGAAGTTCAAGATTTTTCTCATGACACGAAAACAATCTAACAGACTGAATACTGAAATGTTTCTAAGATGTTTTCATTGAGTCCAGATGATAGTATAGGAAAAAAACACGGTTTCAAAGAAAATTAAATTTCATGAGAAAATAAGTTGACACAAATAAGTTGAACAATGAAATACATTCTCAATTCTTTCCTAAAACTAGACACGAAGCCTTTTGGAACATAACTGCATAAACTATTTAAACTGCTGATTTATTATGCTTTTGATCCCTTATAATAAAACAAAATTTATTTTCTAAGTATTAAATATATATTTATATTAGAAATAACTGGTACAACATGTTTCTAAACTATGAAACATTAGATATGTGATGCGTCAATTTGCTTGCAACATTACTGTTTAGTATTAGACACAAGAGCATCTAAACTAGGGGCTCTAAACCAGGGGAATTCCCCTAGGAAGAATTTCATAGCTTCAGGGAGAAATGTGGTCAGCATTTTATTTACCTGTTAAGAATTTAGTTTTAGTTTATGAATATAAAAAATTGCTCTTACTCTCAAGTTTTGGTGTAGATCAACATTCTTTTTTCTTGTTTATAAAACACATTAAAAATAATCTAAGTTTAAATAAATGTGTATGTATTTTTCAGATTTTGGAAAGGAAGGGTTTGATCTTCCAGCAATGGTGAAAGGGATGCTTCGTGTAAAAAAAGGTTGAGAACCACCAATCTAGATGGATTATATATTTGTTGCACTATGCATAACTTTTACACAATAGATTATTATCAGCCGTGAAGGAGTGTATTTTAAAAAGTCATATTTTAGTATTAACAATTTTTCTTTTGCTTTTTAAATAAGAATACTTTATTAGTATTTTATAATCCATATAGAAAATAAATAAAGTTCAGTTACACAGACAGAAACTAAAGATAAAGGTCAAAGTTTTAAAAGAATACTTACAAAACAAAACTGCGAGGTAATCACATTTGTCAATCATCAATTCAACAACTTGATCTGATACAGTTTCTATCTCATCTGAAGCCTGCAATTCTTTTAACCATTCGAGTACAGCTTCCTCAGTTGTTAAATTACCTAATATGAAAGTTCAAGTTAACACACATATATAGTTTTTAAAAATTTTATTAACAGAACTTCAACTTTTCATACTCAAAGCAAAGATGTGGCTCATTCTTTTAAAGCCTGGGCAGCATGTGCTCAATTAAATACATGTCTAGTCAAAAACTGCCCATTAGTAGGATGCACCACATGAGTTTCATATGTACAACTAAGTCACAGACTGTAATATATGTACAAATAAAATGCAGCATAAAAATTACATTTTAGTAACTTTCCATTATGCTTTCATTTTGACATGAACTTTCAGTATGAATAAATAATTAAAATTAAGAGTGGCTCTTGAAGTATGTCTGTCCACTTATATGCTAATTTTTCAATAAATATACTTATACAGCTTTTCAAGATTTACAACAATGTCAAAAACTAGCACATTTCCAAGCATAAAAAAACTTAAACATTCAGCATGTCATGAATTCATAAAATGTATGCAGATATTAGTCTATTTCAACTTTACACAAATCTGTAATTAAAAGTTGAACTGAAAAAAGTTGTTAAAAAGTAAAATTTGAGTTTACTACACAAATAAAAATTAGAGCTATTTATAAAAAAACTAATAAAAATTTGAAAATTTGCTTAAGTGTTAAGAGGCAATCACTAACTGCAGGCTTGACATGCTGTTGGGTGGAAAAACCGTAAATAAAGCATAAGAAATTAATTATATCTGCATGCGATTCACTATATTCTATAATGACTTCCTGGACTAATTTTCATCTTTGTTGATAATGGCAATGTCAGATGATTTAAGCATCTGTTTAAATTTTTCTTCCAGCTTACTTTATTGGAAGGATGGAATATACATATTGCATGCAGCATATAAAATGCATGTTTTATATATTATTTATGTTAACAATAAGACTTCTGATCAACAGCAAATTATCAGTACACAGCTGTGCAAAAATTAGGAGCAAACTGGAGAAACTGATTACAGTGGAAGCCCTTGCATATTGCATCTTGGCTTCAGTGACATCAAATTGTTCTCACAATATGATATTGTGAATAGACAGACCTGCAGGCAACATCTGGATAATTTTACTCTCCCCCTCCCCCAAAATCATCGTGAAGATAGAAATTGAAGTATAAGTATTGTGAGTGAGCTCAGGATCACACTCAATACTGTGTTACTAGTTTGGATGGCATTTCGATTAGTTGAAGCAAAAAGTTTTAATAGTGGTTTCCATGAACAATCATGGTGATAGAGGACATGCTGCTTCTCCTATAGGCAAGGACAGATCAAAAAGAGACAGTAGGTGAAATTGCAAGACACGTGCATATGGATACCTGGTACCACATTTTAAGAGTGGCCAAAAGCACATAACTGGTTTATTAACTTATCAAGCAGTACAATAAGTATCACTGAAGCTTAATTAATGGAAACAGTATTTTTTGTGCACTGGAAACACAAAGACTGGGAAGCTCAGAAAAGAAGTACAACAACTGATAAGTCTTACTTCTGAATCTGGACATCTAAACACCTAGACAGAGTGAGAAACAGAACATCACCTCTCCAACATCATTGAAAGAAACAGTTTAGAGGTGTCAGAGCTCTTTTTTGAGCAAGTACATTGCTTTGTAGCCATATGGAGCTTCACATCTTCTAAAACGTATCAGTCACAGCAACTACACTGAGATTTTCCTTACTATTGTGTACCTTTTCTGACATGTTGGGGGTCTTGAGTTCCTCTTCATGGACAATAATGCTACAACTTATACTACAGCAGTTGCTGCTAAACTGTTGGGCTACAATGATATTTTCTTCCAATACTTCCATACAATCCCACATAAACTAAACCCAATCTTACACTCAGAATGTTCTCAGGCAATACCTGAACGATTTCACAAATACAATTAGTACTACAAGAAAGGTGGGCCCTGATGCTTTAGAGTTTGTCAATGATCTCATACCAGGCAATGAATAGAAGGTGCACATCATGCACTGGAGTCAGAAGTGATCGTATTCCTAACTGAGGACTGCATTTTTCTTGCCTGCCACCAGTCACATGGATAATTCTGTCTTCTGTCATACTATTCTTAGATTCTATGTTTGGAAAAAGGTTTTTGCATCCTTCAGATTTTTTCTCGATCAGAGCTGTTCCCTTTCCTCATAATTACGTATTATGATGATGTAATGGAACGCCTTGTAATGATCTGAAACACTGTTCTGCAATGTAATACACGAAAACGTGTTCTGTCCTTAATCATTGTGCATCAAAGCACAAATATTTTTGTGGAGGTAAAAATTATACATGGATTTGGTGGTAGCTCAACTGTCAACAGTATTTCATTTTAAGGCTTCAAACAGAAATCAGCTTATTTACCAAGCAAGGGGGGGTTTAACTTTAGATCTTAAAATTTTTAAGTAATTAGAAACTTTGACATGATAATAGAAGGAAGAGTTTATTAATTATTACCGAAACCAGCTCTAACTATATTATTGATGTATGTACATTCAGTTAAAACAACATTATCGCAATAAGACAATACAGAATAACTTTCAAAGTAGATACAAATTGTTCCAGATTAGTCAAAAAAAAAAAAAAAAAAAAAAAAAAAAAAAAAGCTGATATAAAAATCAATTTCTCACGGAATGCATTTTTACCACTCAATTAAATTAAAATGTCACTCCTAACAGAAATAACACTTAATCATTCTCATAACAGAAACAGAATGAAAACACTTTAAAAAGTTTTTAGAAACTGCATTCATTGGTCACCACTCAAATAAAGTGCAAAGCAAAAGGCTAAGAGAAATTTGAAGCTGGCAATTTTAAAGCAGCCAATAATCATATATCATTAGAAATAATGGTAAATTACATTTAAATCATGTTAAGGATAAAAACATACAGTTGATATTCTAAGTGAAAGACAACATCAAACAAAGTGCTGTAAATGAGAAATTTTCTGTGCAAAAATGCAAACATGTTTCTTTTACCATGAACATCATATGAACCATTGAGTTACAATGATGTAAATTTGCTAGTTTCTAGTAAAGAAATTAATTCCAAAACACTTTGTTCAGAGAAGTGAGAAACAGAAGTAACTGAAACAAAGCAAAATCTGCCCTGATACCCTAAACAGCTAAGGAAAAGCTTTGTTCATTAATCGTTCAGGACCAGCATCGTGTATACGTGACGCAACGATTCCACGCTTACCAGCCCAGCACTGCATATACGTGAAGAGTTCCAATCAATCTCTACAACCCAGTGTCGCGTATACATAATTTGAAAACAGAACCATTTATTTCAACTTTTAAATGCCAATAGATGTTACTAAATGGTAATAGTTTTCACATCAGTTAAGTCATGTGGCTTTTGACCTTCATGTATAAGCATAAGTTTCTGTTCTGTGCTTCTGGTTTTGATAAATTTATTGGTGTAAACAAACTGGGAATCACAGCTCTTTAAGTTAAAGGGATACTGACGTGTTTGTTTATTTCGTTAGGAATTTCCTTTTTTTTTTTTTTTTTTTATTATCTTGCTGACTACAGCTGGTGTAACGATGGCGAACTTCCATGATGGAAAAACTCATACCTTTTATGTTGTCCTATTTTATATTTTAAAACTTAACGCAGACTTTCTTGGTTAATTAAAAGTAACTTTACAGCATTATTACAGAAGGGAAAAGATATCAGCTTTCTTGATATGTGATGCATCTTATTTGCTCGGCGAAAAAAGCCGCCATTGTTCTGTGTATCGTTTCTTGTTTTGAATTATTCCACACACAGCAGAATTATTAAATTGGAATTAAATTACCTACAGATAATTATTGCTTTTCATTTACATTTGTATTGTAATTTGTTTTTATGTGTATAGTTTTTTTCATGTTTAGTTATAAGTTTGTATTTATGTTTCACTTATTAAATGTGATATTCCGTATTAGTAACATTGATGTCATTAAATTAAAATGCTGATTTTATGAATTTTTTTTTGTAAAGGTAGGCTTAACTGCTGAAAATGCGTGGCCGCGTTTCATTTCAGGGTGTTCGGTCCCATGGCTGCGCTTCATTCTCCAGCACTGGTCCTCAAGGGGTTAAGCAGCATGTTAATAAGAATGTATGCAAGACTTGCAAATCATACTAATCTGAATATACAAATGATTTTCTTAGGTCTAGTTAATGAGATGAGATGTTGAGTTACCAGTAAGTTCAAGAAAATTCTTGATCTTGAACACTTATATTTTTACAAAAATATTCAGTTGAAATTTGTAGTTGCATGTTGAAGTTTTTATCCTTGGTCAAAACATGGAAGTAAGAATACCTAAACATTTCAAGATGTAATGGAGTAGAAAAACAGCGACAAGCAAATTTTACAATTATATCCAAAAAATACATTGAAATTTATTTATCACACTGGAGCAAATAAGTTCAGTTTTTAAAGCAAGACTTAAGAGTTGTGAAAATAAGCAGCCAGGTAATTCTGAATTATTTTTCTGTGATTTTAGAATTTTATGCATGAAGAGAAGAAATAACATCACAGATTCAAAATTGCAGAGGTAAGAAATACAAGCTTGAATACACAAATACCAATACCACATGCCATAATAATAACAGAGACTGTAATAACAAAATCATCACAAACTTTCTATCAAAACATCATGTGAAAAGAAGAAAGGACACAGTTGAATAAGCTTTCAAAGGGCATGAAGGATTAAATTGATAAATAAGCATGGATATGCTTATTTGGATATCAAATGTTTTCTCAAAATGATTATTATTTTATTTCAAGAAAATAAAAAAAACAAGCATATATTCAGAAATTATTACATATGCTTATACCAAAGATGAAAACAAAAAGATATTAAACTTTAATGTACAAAAAAGTTGCTGATATGCCATATATAAGGGAAAAAAAGTCCTTCAAAATAGTAAATTCGTTATTTTTTGTTCATAGTTATTAGTCCCTTTAACTGTGAATGGAAAACAAAAATCTTCAAAGAAAGTCTTTCTAAATTAATATTGCAAAACTACAGTTCAAAAAATACAGTTCTAAATCATTCTTTTTTTAATCCATGATAAGTTTCTTTCCAAAAATGTTACAGTTTTGTAATTTCTTTAAATTTTTTCCATAGTAGATTAATTTTGCATGGCATATAACAGTCATGACAGTAATTAGTGGCTTCTGAAGGTTGCATTAGATAACAGAAGCACTGAAACCTTAATGCTTAACTGAGCAGAAAGACAGGACACTAATATTCAAATAATAACAATAAACACAGAATTGTGCAAAAATCAGAGACTATGAGCAGAAAAACATTTACCCAATTTAACTAAAGGCCACTATTAACAGAATTCATCTGAAGCCTTTTATAAGAAAATTAATTAAATGAAAAGAAAGTATGAACTAATTTTAAGGACTCAATAAACTAAAACATGCCAAACTTAATAGAAACAAGTTATAAATACAAATAATTCATAAAAATGCATAAGTTTATGCATGTACAAGGGATGATGAAACTTAGTACAGGTGATGCTTTTGTAGAGATGAAATGCAATGAAACCAGATAACACTGCTTGTACCATGCATTAGTTACATATCTAACTTTACCTCACGACATGCAACAAAATCAGATAAAACTGCTTATACCACACATTAATTATATATCTGACTTAACCTCACAACAAGCAGTTTTATTTCTTCTACTTCATGTACTTGACCAGTAATAGGGACAATGCCTCACATTAGCTGGTTGCCTAATGCAGTACTGTCACTATGTTACCAAAACAGCAGCAAATGCAAAAAAATACACTACAGGTCACACAACATAAGAATGTCATCAAGGTCAAAGAAACTTGATGCATATCTGCATTGCCTTACAAAACAGTGGCAAAATGTTCAATAGCCTTGAATGAAATGCTTATCATTGCGTGATCATTACGGATCACTGCAAAGACCACGAATTTAAGTGGGACTAAAGCATAATGCAAGTTAAGTTGATTTTCGAGTGTAACTGTGCAACTCCTCAAAAGGTGCAGTAGTATAATTCTGAGCACAAACTGTAACCATTTTCGAAAAAAAAATGTGGGAAATCTTTCTGCAAGACTTGCACATCATTTTGCAACATAATGCTCAGAAACACGCAGCAGAAGGTGTGTTTGGTAGATTGATGAGGCTGGAAAATGTTTCACCATTCTGAGATGTAACCTACTATCACTTTGATTCAGTACCTGTAGTAAAGAAACTACTTCATGGCAATTACTTCAGAAATGTTCTTCAGCCACAGTATTAAATTAATAGCAGAACAGAAACTGCGAGTGGCATCTTACAACTTCCATGTTATTGGCAATTAGAAGACAATGCTAGTGACTACACTGAAGGTCACTGAAGATGTGAAACATATGTATTCTATATCTATGTTAAATAGTTGCCATTATTAAAATTTTTACCCATATATATAGTATAAACATGCATTCATATTAAACATAAAGCTTATGCTATTGATGTAATTTAACTAAAAAAAAACTTATTGCTTACCTTTATAAAAGTTTGGAACTTGGTTTTCAAAAAATACAAGAGTTGGTAAATTCCTAATTCCATATGCTTCAGCCAGTTCAGGATCATCTATTTTTACAAATGGGATCCCCAATTTTTGTCAGCATCATCATCAATATTTTCTAGCTCTTGAAGAATAGCAGAACTTGCTTCATCATCATTGTCATCTAAATTGAAAAGCAAATTAAAAGTTATTCTTATAAAGGAAAATAACAAATAAAAATGAAAAATTTCTCATACAGTCAGTTGGAGGCAAATCAACTAGTTCTGTGAAAAAAAGATTCCGTGAAAATATGCACTGTTAAAAGAGAAGGTAAAAAAAGGATTATGTATCCCCACCCCCAAATCAACTGATCAAGAAAATTTAAATTGCATTTCTCAGAGGGATGAATTATTAGATTTACATATAGCATAATGCTCACGTGTTTCTACATAAATCAAACTTTCTCTAATATTGCATACTAATTTTCCTTCTGTAGTTTCAACTCCACACCAAAATGCCAAATTTTGTAGAATGTGAATGAGCAATTTTTTTCAGAATTCAAAATTTTATTTTCATGATGTAATTGGACTTGATTCAAATTTGACACAATTTCTCTTATTTAAATTAAATTATCTCTTATTTAATTAAAAATCTATTTTTTAATTAAATATGAAAAGAAAGTATAAACTACAGACTTGGTTCACATCTAGAAAAGCTCAGTTACTTTACTTTTAAAAATTTAGATTCTGAATAATTTTCATAATTTTTTTGGATTATAACTTATAAGAACGTGCATAAAATCTTAAAATAAATACTTTTAAACACCCTGGAAAAGTGTCAATATTTTTCAAACAGTGGTTCTAGGTTCAGGTCACAAGATCTTAAGTTGTTGACAAACAGTAAGTTCTAAGATCTTTCATTTATGCTTTCATATTATAAAACTGCATTGCTTATTAGCTGAATAATGTGAATCATTTAACCAGTATTTAATACATTCTGGAACAAGTACTACAATAACTAAAGTTTGTTTTCAACCGATATAGTATTCTTTCTAAGATTACTTCTTTAATGCAGTACAAAGTCTGAGATCCGGTCGTCCAATATCCGGAATGATCTAAAATCCGGACCTTAAAGCCACCAACAAAAAAAATTGTTTAGGAATTTTTTTTTTTCATTCGCATTTAATTTTTCCCCATAACAAAACATGTGCAGAATCCAGATTTTTAATTTCACTTCAGCACTAAGTAAAATACCTTGTTATTGAAGAAACGATCATTTTAGCATAAATGATCAATAATTTTGCTCCGTAGCTGTGTATCTGTTTGGCATACATTTCAAACCAAAACATTCTACATAGAAACATTGTAGATACTACTAATATTTTATATTCTTGACGCCAACCTGGCAAATCATTATTTATTATATTTTGCATGTTTATCAACACAAAACAAAGAGTATGGAAACCTTTTATGTTGACACTAAGCTTGGCAATGATTACACATTTAAGTTGCAATAAATGTATACTAGAAAAAATTTAACAAAAATTTCTTTCCAGATACTAAAAAATTTTTGTTAATGATACTCATAAGCCAAAAGATTACAGTTAGTACAATTTGAATTACGAATAACTGATTTTTTATTCACATAAACCCAGATCCGGCATGAGAGCTCGTATGGCTGCACTGAGCAATACAATTTATGGAAGACAAAATTAAGGGATGATAAAATTTTTAGAATTTAGGGAAAGCACTGGGACCCAAAATTAAGGGGTGGAAAAAATTTAGAACTTATTTATAACTTGATTTAGAACGTGGTTTACCTGATGACATAAAAATTGTCCTGATTGTAGATAACTGTTCGGCTCATACTTCCTTTAAAGTTTTAGTAAAAGGTAATGTATCTGTATTATTCTTCCCTTCAAAAACGGTAATCGGAATAGTGAGCATGCTCAAAATGCAAATATAAAGTGGTACTTTTAAAATCCATGTTAAATTTCTTGAATATTGGCAAGACCAATCAAGAATTCTTGAATTATTTTAGCATAAATCTGTTGCATGAAGTATCGCAAGATTGTGGGAGCATGTGGCTTATAACCAGCTATTATATTTCATGGTGAGGATGATGAACATGATATTTACGAATTTGAAGGTTTTAGGATATTACAAACCACTGGTGAAAGTTTTCAATTAATGGATTTTGCAAAGAAATGTGGAGAGGCGGTAATAAATGAAGATAATACAATAGAAGTTTTTCATTGCAATGATAATGCTCCAATCACAATCAGTTAATGGATGGTGAGATCTGTAGTATGGTTCTAGATCCAGAAAATACCACTACCGGCAGGGAAGAAGGAAACAGAGGTTACTGGAAACAAAAAAATTTTGATTGATAAGTTAGAATTGTCGACACAGCAATTCCAGGACTTGAACAGTGGAACTTTGTAAATAAACAAGAAATTATGTCTGCCTACTGAATTAAAGAAAAAGTATTAGCACAAAAAAAGAAGCAACTTAAACAATTTACATTCATGTTTATTTACATCAAAGCAATGTTTAATAAAGTTAACAAATAAGTATTAAGAATTTTTTGCAAATTTTGATACCCTTTACATCATAAATGCTTCATTATTTCATAAATCACGATTTCATATTTTTAATTTTATACTTTCTACATGCCATCTTATTAGATTTAAATTGATGATCTAATATCTGAAAAAATCCCAAATCTAGGACTGCTAAAGTCCAACAAGTCCGGATCTCGGACTTTGTACTGTATTATTATTTTTTTTTTTTTCTAAATAATAGTAAGACATGTTATCTGCTTTCAAAACCTTCTTTGATATTAAAGACCTATACATTGCCCAAAACAAGATGCTCATTATGACAGTTCCTTTATAGCTGCATATGTGATACAGGCAATTTTTTTTTTGTTTTATATAAGAATACAATATGATAATGCATGGTAATCATAAATTTGAATGTGAAAAAGTTTACTGATATATAGCCTAACAAATATCCCTTTATTCTGTAAAATTTCAACTTATCAGATACTTAGAAACTCACAGAACAAAACAGCCAACTCATGTGTCTTTTTAATCATGTGCTGCAAAACTTTATCGGTAACATCTTCAATCTCATCAGAACTTGTCTGCTTTATAAGCCACTCAAGTACATCGTCTTCCTTAGTCAAATCACCTTAAAATATATTTACAAATGAGAAACTAAAAATGCATAATAAAAAATTATCTAAAAATCAATTGCATGATTTAAAACAGAAAACTTATTACTTTTACTTACCTTGATAAAAATTAGGCATTTTATTTTCAAAGTAAACTAATGCAGGTAAAGTTTCAAGACCATATTCAGCAGCAACTTTATCATCATCTATTTTAACAAAAGGTATTCCATGACGATCACAATCATCATCAATGCTTTCTAATTCTTCTAAAATCCTTTGAGACCTTCTGCTTTCAATGTCATCTGAAAAAGATAATCTTGATAAAATGAACAAATATTTATGCTATTTTCATTAAATACACTACTACACAGAAATTTTTTCACTCGATAAAATTTCATGCATTCTATGATTTAAAAAAAGTGTGATGACAAGTGAAACTGGTCCTTACAAAAAAGCACAGCTAGAAATGGAGAATCCTCAATCATTTGAGCTAAGCCATTTGCTGATATATCTTCAATAGCTTCATTTTCCTCTCCCAAATCTTGAAATTCAAACAGCCAGTTGAGAACTTCATCTTCATTAAAAAGATCACCTATATCAAACACACAAAAATGCATTAAAATTATGTAACAGTTAATGAAATAATACAAATATAAGGCACTTACATGTAAAATATAAAAAAAAAAAGCAGAAGTAACTAAAAATTTACATTTAACAATGCATACTTAATGGGGGAAAAAAAAAAAAAAACATAAAAATTTTGAATTAAACCATAAAAACATAACTGCAAAATTGTATTAAAAATTTTGATGGCATACAACCAAATGAATGCTTTTGTTAAAAAAAATGTATACAGTCAAAAGTCGTTAATCTGGACTCGTCGGGACTTCGGCGATTCCGGATTATCGATTTTACCGAATTATAGATCATCAGTTTAAATCTGGTAAAATGGCATGCAAAAATTATAAAATTAAAAATATGAAACCGTAATTTACGAAATAAAGAACAATTATGATCTAAAGGGTATCAAAATTACAAAAAAGAAAAGCTAATATTTATTTGTTTACTTTATTAAAACATTTCTTCAATGTAAGTTGTTTAAGTTGCTTGTTTTTATGTTATAATACATTCTCTTAATTCTATAAACAGACATAATTTCTTGTTCAGTTACAAAGTTCCTCTGTTCAAGTCCTATAATTGCTGGGTCGAGAATACCGACTAATTTGTCAATCGAAATTTTTTCGTTTTCAATAACCTCTGTTACTTTCTTCGCTATCGGAAGCGAATTATAATGACGAGGCATTTGATTTAAATCATATCAAAGACGAGATGAAATACTACATTGAGTAAGCAATTATAAGCCAAATAAAATAAAAACATCTGCCGTTAAGATAAGGATAGTGCTGACAGATCAACTTCCAATTCAATGCACGCGGCCGCGGAGTTAAAGATAAACAAAGTTTAGATAAACAAACGTTAAAGTTTAGATAAACAAAGGATATGCCTTTATCCATTTTTTGCAGCAATTCCACTTTTTGTTTAATGGACTCCGAAGATACTTTCGCTTTGTATATCCTTTACATATTAGTAAATATATACCGGAAATTCTATTTGACATAATCGAAAGTTCAAGCTTACTTTTATAAAATTGCTCTAACAGTCTGCCAAAAATAATAATCCGGATCCAATTCGAAGATTAAGGAACAACGCAATCTGCAACATTAACTGAAATAGATAATTAGATAATTTTAGCTTAGCTTATCCCGTTCGTTATACATTAAACACACATTCGTAAACGTATTTTGCGCACGCGCACACGCAAATTCGCAGCGGTAAAGGTCTTACGCGCATGCGTCAACGTGATGCATGCGCAGAAAGTTTGTAGCTTTGAGGTCCGGATTATAGATCATTCCGGATTATGGGTGTCCGAATTAACGACTTTTTGACTGTATTAATGCAGCTAAATTACTTACCATCATATAAAAGAGGTATCTTCTTTCTGTAATAAATCAGTGCTGGAACAGAATCCAAACCATATTCAACTGCTAAACTCTCATCTGCAATTTTTACAAAGCCAATGTCTTTTGCATCAGCTTCATCATCAATGTTTTCAAGTTCTTGAAGTACTTGCTCACATTCTTCACAGTCTTCCTTGTCTGGATTAAAATTTTAAAATTTAAAATATTCAAACACTTCCACAAAAAGAAAAAAAAAAAATTAAATAACAAAACATGAGTCAAAAAAACATCAGTATTGAAAAATTAGTTAAGAAAAGTAAAAGTACCTCATGCACGATGATTTTATAGCTATGCATTCATTTAATAATACACGCTCGCTGAGTTAATTAAGTGGAATTACTAATAATGAGATGAAAACAAAACAGAAAAAAACAGAAAAAAAAAGGAAGTTAAAATTTCATTACAAAAACCTACTGCAAATTATTTATTTACTATCAGATTGTTAAAACCTTCACATGAAAAAAAAAAAAAAAAAAAAAAAAAAAAAAAAAACTTGTTCCATAAAGAATTTCTTAAAAATATCATGCAGTTTTAAACATTAAAAAGAGTGAAAGATAAAGAAGTTTAAATTCAATACTTTATAATGATTTTAACTTAATTTTTCTGGAATTTTTTAAAATCATAATAAAAATGAAATTAAAAAATTGATTACTAATACTCATATATTTTTGGCTCGTGTTGATCATACAATAAGCACTGAAATAATACTCAATGGTATGAGTAAAAAATTTTATTGCTTGAAGTGAAAGTTACACTAGGCTTTCTTAGCACACCTATCACAAATTACTTAAGATTAATAATTATTAAAAGAAAGTGTTACGAAATCTGTGTTTACAACTGCTTGAGCTACACAAAAGTATTAAAAATTCAAATTAAAACACAGGTAAGAGCAATTTAATTTTTTACAATTTCCTTCTAACAATATTTTCAGATGCAAACTGGTTACTTATTGAAAAAAAAAGATAAGGCATATTTAGACATTTAAATTTTAAAAAAGTCACCTTTTAGTGAAGCTTATAGCTTTAAGCATGATACATATGTGCATAGAACTTAAAATCACAACATTCAATAGCTTCAAAGAGTTTCTATGTTTCTAATGAAATTGAAAAGCAAGCACTGTTGCTCTATGAACAGACAGTTGTTTCTTCTACCTAGTTCCCTAAACCAAAATCTGCTTTCAACAAGAAGATAAAAGTATTCATATCCAGTTTCAAGTCACAAGTATTTTGAAATCTAGAACTGATGAAAGAATGGATTGATATGTCTTGAGACAATAATGAAGTGATTATATTATAAAGAAAAACTTTTAGTATATTAAAAATATATGATGCATGATCAGAGAAACTGAAACTGACTTCAACTAAAATGCATCAAAAATTACATACACAGCATTGTTTTTCCCTACAAATGATAAAATGCTCAGATTTTGTGTGTATGTGTCAGCCTAAACACAATTATCAAAATCATGTTTTCTTTATGGATGAAGCATCTGAGAGGGAAGAGCAGCTGCAACATGAATATACATATGATAAGCTATTAGGGTGAAGAAGAACGTGGTGGATTGCTGATCACTATCATCACATTCTTATATCAATAAGAAACAAAATTTGTGTGAAAGAGGGATAATGCATTAAAACAAAGGTACCACTAGTCACTGAGAATTGGGCAACAAAAGAAACTACAAGCTGTATGCTTTAATAGTAAAAGACTTGCACAAATGCTATCAATTGCACTATAATGCATATATACGAGATGAACAAATTTATATCCCCGCAGATAATTTTCAATTATTTAATCATTTTAAACCTAAACATAAGACAAAATGAGTTACACAAAGAGAATGAGCAGGATACATAATGGTTTACTCATAAAAAACTGTAATTAAAAAAAGAGAGAGAGAGAAATGGAAGCTGCAGACTTTTTTATAGTTAGGACAGAATTCAAAAAGATATCTTGGTTATTAACACCACTACAAGATGTGAGGTGAAGAAAGCGTTGTTTCTCATTCAGTACACTGTTCAGATGGAATTCACACCATCTATGAAAGTCATTTACTTCCAATGTCCGGTACATAATCTTGTCAACATAGGAAAAATGTTTCTTAGTGGATACAGATCTCAAAATGTCCAATGCAAATTCTTGTTGGCATAGTTAAATGCTTATTTGTGGGTTTAAAACTGAACATTTACTTTACAATTTGTCCATGTACCAATGGTAAGATGAACTAATATTTTATATGGATGCAATATATACAGCACAATGCCAGTTGCCTGACCTCAGTTAACTGACATACTATGACAAGAAACTTCATAAAAGTTAATATAAATATTATTAATACTGTTTTCTGTATTGCACTCAAAATTTATTGCATGGCATCTACAGTGGACTCGAGTCCCATTTCTGAATACCACCCGAGATGCCTTAATGCACATACAACAGCAAGCTCAGATCCTCAGCACTATCCTCTTGGTATTTTGGCATTAACTGAGTGTCATGGTGTATTTGCAATTAAGACAAGTAACCATGGAAAATAAATAAACTTTCTTGTAAATTAACTTAATGAATTTAACACAGTATATATTACTTCCTTTAATATCCATCACAATATATGTTTTTACCATACAATCAGTTCTATGCCCGATATGAGCACTGACTCTTTTGAAAAGTTTTATTTTTTTCTTTGCCGGAGTGGGTCATATTTGGTCATACATGGTTCACATTTGGAGATATTTTTTTGCCAAAATTGCAGGTGCCAAAAATCATTAGGATTGCACTGGATTGAATTTAATCGATTTTTTCAAGGTTTTCTTGATGATGAGATCAATACAGATATTATAGGTCTTGTTAAGACAAATTAGTCATAGAATTAATACCCTCGTCTGTACTAGAAACATTATTTAAGATGCTAAGTGCTTTTTTCCTGTGTGTGTGTATTTTGAAAAAACTTGATAAACTGATCATCAAATTTTACTATGCCGGCCATATGTGACTGTTGGCATTGAAAATTTAAAAAGAAAAAAAAAATTCTCTTAGAAAGTCCAGCAAAGGCCTATCTTTTCAAGCAGATAACTTTCATGCTTTGCAATAATCAATCAACCAACATACATAAATATCAAGGTATAATAATTGTAGTAAATAATATTTTAAAAATCTCTTCAAATTTTGGATTTTATGGCTGAATACCTTACATAAAAAGGCACTGACATTTAGCACTCATAGACAAAATTGAAAGACACAGATAAGTTTGTTACTGTTAAAATGGAGCTTTTTGCATCTTGAGCAATGACTACTAATGTTGCAGGATAAAGAAATTATAATGTTTAAATAGAGAATACATTATTGAGAATACAAAAGAATTCATAAGCAGAAAAGATTTAAATTGAATACCTAGCATTTAAGTTTACTGGAACAAAAACCAATATCAGTAAGATTATTTAGCCTTGAAAGTTTAAAATCTAAAAACTCTGGCAAATGCTGCATTGTTGAGCTTTCCTAATCCTGACTCACCATTAGCTCTCTTAAGAGACGCTTCGAAATATGCAGTTGAATCCATAGGGCAACAATTGGACAAAAGCAGTCAGAAACCCTTAGCCTTCTTTTCTAAAAGTTAACTAGGTTCAAAAAGGATACAGGTCTTAAGACAAGGAACTGTTAGTGATATACCTCTCGAGCAAATATTCAAGCATATCCTATAAGGAAAACAATTTACATTGACTTACAAAAACTTTGATGCTTGCTTTTAAACAAAAAAAAAGCAGAAAGCCTCACCTAAACAGCTTTGTCATTTACAATATACATCACAGTTTTCCACAGATATTTTTCACACTGGTAGAAAAAATATTGTTGCAGATTCCTTATCCAGGATAGAATCTCTTGCTGAAGCAGATTATGATAAAATTGTAGACTCACAGATTGCTAATAAATATCTTAATGAGCTATGCTCAAAACCACCCTTACATTTAAAGCAATATCCTTTGGACTCTGTTTAACTACTTTCATATGACAGTTAAATAACAAAATTCGTCAATTCATACCTCAAGATTTTCAGAAGCACACATTTCACAAAATTCACACCTTAGCTCAACTTCATCTGAAGTCTACATGTCAGTTAAACAAACAGCTTCCAGATTTATTCGGCTAAACGTTCCAAAGGGTAACACCCAATGGGCAAAATCTTGCATCTATCGTCAAAAGAAACACATTATTTACAGACATATGTGTGCCACCTATAAAGAGGTAGATGACAGATTCAATATTATTCCTGTTGCTATCATAGGCTCATTTACTATTTCTGAAGGGACATCATACTCCATTACCTGCATTGATTGATTCACATATTGAACAGAAGTTATTCCTTTAGCAAATGCGATGCCTGAAACATTAGCTCAAGAATGTTTTCATCACTAGATTTTGTGCTTTGGAATGATGTAACTTGTAATCATTGATCAAGGTAGACAGCTTAGATCCGAACTTTTTAAAAACATTGGTGTTATTTGTGAATTTAAAGTATGCACAAACAGCGTATCACCCACAATGTAACAGGAAAATTAAAAGGATCCACTGGACTTTAAAAGCTTCAATCAGAACACACAATTTTATTAAATGGACTAAAACATTATCAACAGTTTTGTTAGTGCTAAGATTGGCTTTGTGTAGTGATACAAATTACACCACTGCACAAATGGTATATACAGTCAAAAGTCGTTAATCCGGACTCATCGGGACTTCGGCGATTCCGGATTATCAACTTTTCCGGATTATAGATCATCAGTTTAAATCCCGTAAGATGGCATGCAGAAATTCTAAAATTAAAAATATGAAACCGTAATTTATGAAATAAAGAACAATTATGATCTAAAGGGTATTAAAATTTACAAAAAAAAAAAAAAAAAAGCTTAATATTTATTTGTTTACTTTATTAAACATTTCTTTCAATGTAAGTTGTTTAAGTTGCTTCATTTTATGTGATAATACTTTCTCTTTAATTCTATAAACATACATAATTTCTTGTTCAGTTACAAAGTTCCGCTGTTCAAGGCCCGTTAATTGCTGTGCCGAGAATACCGACTAACTTGTCAATCGAAATTTTTTCATTTTCACTAACCTCTCTGTCACATTCTTCATGTCTTTATCCATTT